TTGAATAGCTTACCGCACAGATTTGAGTTTTGTTTCTTCCTACTATTCTCCAGTATAAAAATCATTCTTTCTGAAGATAGAGACACTAAATATAATACAAATGATCATCCCCAGATGCCAAACAGCAAACTTTAACAAATTCTGAAAAAGGTAACAAAATCTCCTTTATAATGAAAAGGAGTTGATGAGAGGGGGTGTTGTAGAAATTCTCATTTCCTTAGAATTACATTGGCTTTGGCAGAGAGGGAAGACGCATTGATGATGACTTTTCACATAGACGGGTTCTGACCACTTTCCCATTTAAGTGCTGTACTCTGGGGGTCCCCAGCAGAAACCATAGCATTCATCAGAGGGGTTACAGGTAACCTGTAGCCTCCCAGGTACAGAGCGGCAGAGACCGTGGGGCTCAAGAGAGCATCAGAAAAAGAGACAAGGTAGGAAAGTACACCTGGCCCAGACCCCCTGTACCTCTGTCTTTGGTAACAGTGTTTCTGACAATGAGACCTGTCGTTAGAGTGTGACTTCTTCATTACTTATCAAAGAGGGATTCATATCTTATTGGGTTCTCTTATTTCCAATGTGTTTCAGTTAATTACTATCTCTTAATTGACAATTATCTCCCCTCTGTTTGTGACCTTCTTAATGGTTTGATAGTGGCCAGCTGAATACATTAGTAGGTTGGGTGCTACCGGGTAACTTCAGTGAAGAATAATGAGGGAAAGAAGGCATTATTTTTCAACTTGTGATACTAACATCCTAAGAGAGGATTCTTCAACTTATATAATGCCAAGGAAACAAGCTCATATACATGTTAAGTTTTATTATCCAAGGGACAGGATGGCTGTTATAAAATCCACTGATTTAAATGACATAGTAGTAAGCTTGCTATATATTTGTTGCCTTCCTCATTATTTTAAGAATCAACAGACCTTAAAATTTTCAGTCTGGTAATAAACTAGTTTGTGGACTTGAGAAGTTACAGATAGGTCTCACTTTGCCTGCAGTCAATTAACAACTTTTCTCTTGCTCCAAAAAGGTCTTTAGCCATATGTGCCTGGTCTTTGTGTTTATAAATATGCAAATGTAGCTTTTATGGCTAAAGGAAAGCAGCATGATGCTTTTCTCCTATATCTTCAAGTCTGTGTGACATCTTTAAAAAACAAACTATATAAAGGAATTTTTGTTCATTCCCCAGATTTCTTAATTCATAATATATGCTGGCCTATATATGATTTGACACAGGCAGGCATACAGCCTGACATTAAAGAACTTCCCTAAAGATTTATGCCATTACTGGAGACTAGAGGCACAGGAACAAATCATTTACTTCCATCTACTCTCATGAATCATTGCACAGGTTCCTGTTCTGTCCTGTTTTCTGAACTAAGATAACGCTTTGAAGTCAAAGGCAGTTCTACATAGTAAAGAAAGAACAAAAATCAATCACGGTTTGCTTTTCCAACTGTGGTTATTTTTAACATATCTAACAACCATAAGAAGGTATGGAATTGTAATTTAGTGAAAGGTAACAAAAATGTTGCTTGGTATGTGTGCTTCAAATCATACTTATGATCAAGTTGAAGACACACAGCATCATGGTATTGCCTTCCCTAGATTGTAATGCCAAGTTACAGCAAAATACAAATAGCTACCTCTAAAGGGGTAAGAAATGGCTGTCCCTTCATTTTGTATTATGCCTCCTCTTTGCAAATGACCATGACATGACTGAGAGGAAAGATTAAAGCTCCACCTGGATTTTTGTCTTTGAAAAATACCAAACATAGAGGTATCTGAATTCTATTTACATTTCTAAATCCTTAAATCCAATAATTATGCCAAGTTTTGCATTAAATATCTTACTGTGGATCAGACAAAATATGTAGCAAATTATCAAGATCATTCACGTTCACAAAGTGCTGCACACAGAAGGAGCGTAAACACATTTGACTTACTGTGAAAGACTCAAGGAACAGGTGCCAGTGCTGGTTTATAAAGTGGACAACCATTCATCAAATTGCTATTAATGTTGAACCTACTCCTGTGGCTGACCGCAGCTATGGTAACTGGCACGCAGTTAGACCCAGTATGCATGGAACATTGCTCTAGACAGACGAAACGCAAGACTGACCTCTAGCAGCTCATCTTTTGTTAGTTTGTCCAGGTACTTTAAAAATTTATCAACAAACACTGCAGGAAATTAAACAGGCTGCAGAAAAGAATAGTGAAAGAAGTAGACAGAAGAATGTACATCATGTTTACTGAGAGAAAATGTTACTTCTCCCACACAAAGTAGATTTTCGTGCTGG